TGACAACATGATCAAGGGGCAATGGTTTGATGATAGTGGTCAGGTCATATTTGCTCAGCAAAGATGGTCGGATGTCAACAGTCCGACGGTGGTGATTGAGTAGTGATTAAATGACGATGATTAGTTAGCAGCCCAAAAGAGTTCTCAATATTTTCAAGCCTCTGAGTATTGTTGAATATACAACCAATGGTCATCTCAATATAGAGAGGAGAGACTTATTTATAGATTTTTAGAATATGACTCATGAGAAATATAGTTAAAATTCATAACATTATTAGATGACACATTTTAATTACTTAAATTATAGACCTTTGTTTCAGCATTGAAGTGTCTTAACGATATCAGAGTCGAATAATCTTGGGCTCGTTGGATTCATCTTGTCGAGACAATTAATTTGACCTTAAGCATGCAAGATTTTAAAATCATACAATAATATAATTAATATCTAAAAGCTTCCAATTATATTATAATTTTTTGTTTGGGCACATTTAGATTCAGTTCATATTACTTTTGATGTTGTTGGATTCTTCTTATTGAAACAAGCAATTTGATTATAAAATTATCAAAATCATATTTCAAATCATCCTATTGTTAATTCCAAATATTTTCTAATTTTATTAAACATAGAAATTTATATTTGCCATTCAATTTTTTTTATTAATTATAATCAAATCTTAATTTTAAGAAAAATTTTAAAAAAATTGAATATACTCTTCATTATATGTTGGTCATTTCCCTTTCTTATGAAATTTTGAGTATCTCATGATGAGATGCAACAAAAATTTCTTCCCAACCAATTAATAAATGAGTAAAAAGTCCACCATAAGTCACTCGCAACAGCAAAAGTCAGAAGAATTGAGAGAATACAAAAGAAACCGCAAAGCTTGAGAAATTTGTCCCACATCGCTATATTGTATTTTATTAACAAGTGACAAATATCACAGTATATAAGGTCTTACAGCTAGCATTGACGAGTACTATATATGGACATATCTCGCACGTGCCTCATACCAATTATATTAAAAAAATTAGTCAGGAAAATAAGTTATTTAGAGAAAAAAATGTTTTAGTTCGTCAATCAAAATTTCGTTAAAAAATTTATAGAAAAAAAAAAACGAAAGAAATGATGGATAGTGAAGTGGAGGGGATTTTCAGAGAGAGAAAACAAACTCCTTATATACTTAGGAAGAGAAGATATGCTTTAAATTTCGTGCAGTCGTTTGTACGCTTTGCTAATTATAGTTATTGCACGAGTCCAAATTGAACTCGATTTAGAGAGGAGAAAGGGCCAAACACTTTTTTCAATTTTTTGATATTTTGAAGAAAAGTAGATTACTATAATTAAATTTATTAGAATATGATAGAGCTAAAAGTATTATTATCTATTTTTTTGATCAGGTATAAGTGGGCTTTGAGTTTCTTGTCGGCTAGGACTTCGTTTGGATGGCTATTTTATTGCTTTTTAAAATAGAACTTTATTACAAAAATTTAGGTCTCATGATTTTTTGGTGAGTTTCATTATCAGACCATAAGGTGCAAGTTTATCTGTCATGACCCACTGACTATCTATCAAATACCTTAAAAGAAAAAGACATACAGACATACATAGAGTACGAAATACTTTACATGTTGCTTAGTCATGACTAAATAAAATTGTTACATCTTGTAGTATTCACGGCGATAGAGAAATATATAGTTTAATGTCTTAGTATTATACGAAGATCCAGCACACATTCATATAAGATAGAGAGAGGGTGAAGCGTTCATAAGAGACACTAGAGTTTTTACGTGGAAACTCCTGAAAAGGGGGGAAAAACCACGGGGCCTGGCCCAGTTTGAATGAATCCACTAGTATTTGTCGTCCATTACAAATGAGGCCCTTCCTTGCGAGAAGGTCTTGGCTTGATGTCACAAATGTACATTATATTGAGCACATTACATGGTGGAAGTTATAATAATCAACATAGATATGTTTGTTTGATTTGAAGGGCCATAGTCGGTACGAGATAAGGGCTCAAAAGATCGTAGTTGGTAGGAGACCGGGGTCAGAAAGATCGTAGTTGTCAGGAGATCGGGGTAAGAAAAACTGTTGTTTGGTGATGGAGGTCGGATGGGCCGTAGTAGGTGACGGAGGTCGGAAGGACCGTAGTTGACAGGAGAAAGGGGTCTGAAAGACCTTAGTTGGCAGGAGAACGGGGTCAGAAAGATCGTTGTCTGTTGATGGAGATCGGAATGATCATTGTAGGAGACAAAGGTCGGAAGGACTATAGTCGGCAAGAGATCGGGGTCAGAAAGACCGTAGTTGAAGGACAGTATTCTGAGAGAACTCTGGGCATCAAGTGGTGGCCTAGTGGAGCTCAAGGCCTCAAGTAGTGGTTCGACAAAAGTCCGGGCCTCATGTGGTGTTCTGGTGGAGCACAGTGCCTCACGTGGTGGTCCATATTTATCCATTAGATTGTGGAATTTGAAGTATCTCATTTTAATAGTGAAATTTATTGAAGGGAGCTTAAATTTGTTCATATTTATCCATTAGATTGTGGAATTTGAAGTATCTCATTTTTATTTTCTTTCTTAGTTATGATAAATCATCTTGATTTCTATGAGAACAGAATGATTCAATAATTTTGCATGTTTTTGTAAGCTTATTTCTCACATAATGCTTCTTATCAAAATAAGTCTTCTACTTTCACTACTAAAAATTATGATTTTTCCCGGCACTTGTTAGAGGTGATTTGAAAACTGCAACTTAAAAGTGCTTTTAGCTACAATTTTAACCGCTGCTATTTGCACTGGTTTTAATCGTTGGTATAGACCAAAATGAAACACTAACCTTATATCTGGTTTGATGCTCTCTTCTCGATCCCGTGGCCTTCGATCTCTCGCGTGATCTCTTCCTCCCTCCCTTAATCGCTCGCGTGCTGCCTGTTGGTGCATAGATTGTCGCCTTCGATCGGATCTGAAGAGTAGACTCCATCAAATCCCAAACTCCGTCCACTCCGTTTGTGTCTAGATCTTCCTGATCTCCTTGGTCGGTTTGCCCCTCAACCTAGGGTTTCATTTTCACTTGAAATCCTTGCATATAAGCCATTTGTTTCATTCAGAGTTTGATTATACAATTGCTTAGTAAAGCTCCAACTTCTCTTAACATTGCTAGTCATATTTAATTTATCAAAAGCTAGGAATCAAATGTTCACCTTTAACTTGAGATTTACATGTTTTCTATCAAGATATTAGATGTAAGATCCATCAACTAGAAAGCTATCCTCGGAGGAAAAGAAGCACCAAAAGATTTCACTGCATTGTTGTCGCCTTCCTTGAAGTTGTTCAAGATTTCATTATGAAAAAAAAAAAAAAAAACTTGATTAATGATGTTACTATTAGTAATGAAAGTATGTTTAGTTTAATAAATAAGATGTTACATTTTATTCTTTAATATAAATTTATAGCTATTAGTTTGATTTACTTCATACAATCAAGTTATTAAATGAAATTGAGTTGTGCTAATTTGAATTAGAATTTACTAAGTTGATAAATATTTGCAAAGATGAATCCTATTAAATTGAAAGGATTGTAAATAAAGGTATTTAAACCTAGTACATATGAGTAGTATTTATGTTGGTTAGTCATGTGGGTTCAATCCAAGGAGATAAGATATAATGTATGGTATTTACTTTTGGTTCAATACAACTATGTTGTTTCACAAGCTTCCACGTCCTTAATGAGATAAAAACTTGGTTGTTAGTGTGGGCTCATTTCCTTTCTTATGAGATATAATGTATAGTATTTACTTATATTTTGCTTTGTGTTTACTTGGCACTTTCATGCTCATTTGTTGAGCGGCATACTTATATTTTTGGTTGTTAGTCTGCTCGATCATGCCCTTGCGTGTGTTTTCTCACACATGCCAATCGTAGCTCCAAGCTGTTTCATTCCACTCGACCTCCTAAATTGGCCCGCATTCGTCCCTACCATCTACTCTTGAAGCTGTTGCACCACCTTGTCGCTCTCCACCATTCCATGCAACCGAGCCACCAGACGCTTGATTGTGCTCAAGTATTTTTCCAACACATTTGTTCCACTCGAATAGCCCGCTGCCCTGAGCAAAACCTCCTCCCCCTTCATCTCTTTTTTGAATAAGAATCGTCATTCTCCTTGTGATCGCCTCCCCCAGACCCTGACACAAGTTTGTTATGATTTCTTGAAGGATCTTGCTTTCTTGTTCCACCTAGAGAGAGAAGGGCAGAGAGAAAGTATGCTCACAGTATTTTGGAGAGAAAAGAGAGCTGAAATTTTATTTCCTATTGGACCTACTTACTACAAATCCACCCTTATTTATAAGCTAAAACAAGATAAAATACACCTAAGACATAATCTATCTAAAATTTGACCAATATCTAACATTAAAACATAGTAAAAGAAGGCAACATAAGAAAACTATGGCTCAATAAAATTGGTTTGTTAAACAATTATTCTTATACTCTTTTTGCACTCATTAATTAGAAGAAAAAAAAAGTTTGATCAACAAATTCATGATCAAATTTTGGCTATCATAACTTCTAATTTTTTTATATTAACTTTAAGATAAATACAATAAATAAATAATCAATCTCTTTATACCATATTCATCTTATAATAAATTTTAAAATTTTACTTTTTCTTCTAATTAAAATTTAGGTAGTAGATCCATTTTTTTCCTATAATAAATAGATCATGATCATATCATTTAGATTTGTATTCTTTTAAAAATGTTTTTTTTAATATGTAATTTTTTTTTTAAATAACATTTTATAATAAAACAAAAAAAATCCTAAAAAAAAAAAAATGTAATTGCGAGTATACATACTAAAGCTAAAAAATGTGGGTCCACCTACAGCCCCGACCCCACAAAGCCATAGTATTCAAACTTCACACGTGGACGCTCCACTCCCCACTCTCAGAACCACCCAGCAATCATTCCCTCTTCCTATAAATTCCCTTCTCCTCTATCCTCTCACAGCACCATCCTCCCAACTAGAAGAAAAATGGCTGTCGCCGCCGCCGCCGCCGCCGCCGCAGTCCTGCTACTTCTCCTCCCCTTCAGCTCCTCCTCCCTCGTCTCCACCCCCAATCCAACCCTGCAATATCACCACGGCCATCTCCTCACTGGTAATCTCACCCTCCACCTCATCTGGTACGGCCATTTTTCCCCTTCCCAACGCTCCAGCATCACAGACTTCCTCCTCTCCCTCTCCCCTTCTTCCTCCCTTCCTCCTCCTTCCGTCTCCTCCTGGTGGGCCACCACTCGCCTCTATCTCTCCTCCCCTTCCACCATCCTCCATCTCTCTCCTCAACTCCTCCTCTCCTCCTACCCTCTCGGCCGCTCTCTCTCCTCCTCTGCTCTCCCCTCCCTCGCCTCTCTCTCTCGCCCCTCTCCTTCCTCCATTTCCATACTCCTCACCTCCTCCGACGTCTTCGTCGACGGCTTCTGCTCCTCCCGTTGTGGGACCCACTCCCGCCTCCCCAACGCCGCCTCCTTCATCTGGGTCGGCGATTCCTCAACCCAATGCCCCGGCCAATGCGCCTGGCCATTTCATCAACCGCCGTACGGCCCTCAGTCGCCACCGCTTGTCTCACCGAGCGGCGACGTCGGCGCCGACGGGATGGTTATTAATCTCGCCACGCTGTTGGCCGGAACCGTGACGAATCCCGACGGCAAAGGGTTTTTTCAAGGGCCGCCGGAGGCGCCGCTGGAGGCGGTGTCGGCTTGCACCGGGATATTTGGAAGTGGGGCCTACCCGGGCTTTCCCGGTAAGGTCCTCGTGGACCACACAAGTGGGGCCAGTTATAACGCTGAAGGAGTGAATGGAAGAAAGTATTTGCTGCCGGCGATGTGGGACCCCAAGACTTCGCAGTGCGCCACGCTCGTATAGAAATAAACTCTACATGAATGTGTACTAAGAAGATGTTTAATTAGCGATTAAAGTTTCTGCGCACTATATTTTGATTTGTGTGTTTGATCAATAATTTGTAGTATTTTTTAGCATGCAAATGAAAACAATAATATGTTATTAAATAATTTATAAAAAATAGCCACTGGTTTCTTCCTATAAAATAGTTCATTTAATAGTTCATGAAATAATATTATGATATTTTAGAGAAATATTAATATTTAACTTTAATAAGATATCATGTTTTATATTTTATATTATATTAGTTGTATTATACATAAATTTTATAATTATCTTATTTCACTTCAACTATTAAAATATTTATTTTATCAAAAAAGAAATTTTCTGACATATATTTAATATTTCTTTATATAGATAATTTTTAAATATGTATCAATTTTTAAAAATGATATTTTAAAGAAAAATACTAATTTCAAATTTATATAATATGCTAAAAGTTCAATGAAGTTCCTCATTTTGATTATTGGTCACTTCTCTAGCATTTAATAATAATGAAGTAAAAGGTAATAGAAATTGAAGCATGAATTGGTTGACTCAGTGGCCCAATGGATAAGAAGATTTCAAATTTTAAAATAAGTTGTTGTGGGGGTTTTGTCAATGGGCAAGTGCGGGCCCTGTGACTAGCCTTTTTTTCTGCGGACATCGGATGACATCTAGATACTAATTAGAATACGATAGTTTAATTTTTTTGCTATGTACTGGTGTTCGGTACTGCTTTATAACGGGTGACGTGATGTGCTTTGGTTGATCTTCAAAACATCCAGCATCCGCACAGAATAATTTCTCATCGCCGGCCCCACTTTAGCTTTGAGTTTGGTTAAGCTGAAGTTATGATGGTTTAATATAAGGTTTCTTTGGCATAATTTGCAATATATATATATATCATGCGATATTTTAAGACAATAAAATTAATTTTCGAGGAGGTCTAATTAAGCTTCATTTTAAATGTACAAAATTTAAAATATTGAACATAAAAAAAAATGTGTTTCATGTTCCCAAAATATGGCAATCCACATCAATGTATATCCATGGCTTCCCTCAACTAATTATGGTTTTCTATTAGTCAACCTTTTTTGCAAATAATAATCAAATTAATTTAGGCTCACTTAATTAAATTCATCAATTTGGCAATGAACTTTAATTCCTCAATATTTATAACGGGATATAATTTGGAGTATAGTAAAACTTTGATTCATCAATATTATTCTAATTTTTAAAAAATATATAGTTCACACAGAAAAAATTTTGGAATAGACTAGAATTTTCTTACGTGGAAAATCAAAGAATGGAAAAAATCAACGATGATTACTGGAAATTGTTATAAAATTATTTAGCTCTCTCTGCTCTTCAACTTCTCTCTCATGCAAAGAATAAGTTTTGATACGTCGTCAAAAAATTATCTTAAACGGACGCGAATCTCGATGCAAAATCAAGTTGGAAACTTCAAAAATTAATTAGGAGACCATCCAAACTTTGATTTCAACAAACTTACAGTCAAACTGAGCGTCTCGAAAATATAAACCCAACGACACCAAATTCAACCCAAACCGAGCCCAAATGGGTCCAAATCAAGGACCAGCCGAAGCGTTGTTGAAAGGTTCAAACCATAATTTGGATTACCAAACGGTTTCCAAACATAACAAGCTTATACTCGAATCGAGCGGATAAACGAGACGAATCCAACGAGCCCAAGATCGCCGAATTCCGACATCATTAACGTCTTCAAATGTCTAAAGAATGGTGCATGACCAAGAGATTCAACATCAGTCGTTCATCTGACCACTCCCCATTTACCCTTGATCTCTCACCTATTTACGGGTCATGCCACTCCAGAAATTTATAAATAGAGCTCCCTCTCCTCTTGAGGGAGGACCCCCCTAAGCCTAAGGAAAAAAGAGAGAGATCGGAGATCGCTCTTACTTCCTTGCCTTCTCGACCACCGCCGAAGTTTCGCCGGACCACCGTCGGAGTTCCGTCGAACCACCACTGGTCCACCACCGCTGGACTTCTGCTGCACCACCACTGGAGGCCCTCACCTCCGTCGGACCACCACTTAAGGCCCTCGCCTTCCTCGACCATCGTCGGACTTCCGCCGGACCACCATTGGAGGCCCTCACCTCCGCCAGACCACCGCCTGACGCCATTGCTCCGCCGGACCACCACTTAAAGCCCTCGCCTTCCTCGACCACCTGAGGCCCGGACTTCCACCGGACCACCACTTGAGGCATTGTGCTCCATTAGAACATAATCCGAGGCCCTGACTTCCGCTGGACGACTACTTTAGGACTTGAGCTCCACCAAGCCACCACTTGATGCCTAGAGTTCTCCCAATCTTCTACCGACTACGGTCCTTTCAACCTCAATCGCCTACTATGGTCCTTCCGACCTCCATCAATAGAAAATGGTCTTTCTGACCTCGGTCTCCTACCGACTATGGTCCTTCTGACCTCCGTCGCCTACTATGGTCCTTCCGACCTCCATAAACAGACAACAGTCTTTCTGACCTCGGTCTCTGTCGACTATGGTCCTTTTGACCTCCATCACCTACTATGATCATTCTGACCTCCATCAATAGACAACGGTCTTTCTAACCTCGGTCTCCTGTGGACTACGGTCTTTCTGACCTCCGTTGCCTACTATGGTCCTTCCGACCTCCATCAACAGACAACGGTCTTTCTGACGTCGGTCTCCTACCGACTACGATCCTTCTGACCTCTGTCGCTTACTATGGTCCTTTCGACCTCCATCAACAAACAACGGTCTTTATGACATCGGTCTCCTGCCGACTACGGTCCTTCTGACCTCTGTCGTCTACTATGGTCCTTTCGACATGCATCAACAGACAACGGTCTTTCTGACCTCGGTCTCCTGCCGACTATGGTTCTTCTGACCTCCGTCGCCTATTGTGGTCCTTCCGACTTCCATCAACAGTCAACGGTCTTTCTATCCCCGGTCTCCTACCGACTATGGTTCTTCTGACCTCCGTCGCATACTATCGTTCTTCCGACCTCCATCACAAGACAACGATCTTTCCAGCCTCCATCCTATCGACTATGATCGTTCTGACAAAACAAACGCATATATTGTAACTCCCACCATATAATGCACTCCATATGATGTACATTTATGACATTAAGTCAAGGCCTTCTCCCAAGGAAGGGCCTCATTTGTAATCGATAACAAATACTAGTGGATTCATTCAAAGTGGGCCAGGCCCCGTGATTTTTCCCCCTTTTTTAGGGGTTTCAACATAAAAACTCTGGTGTCTCTTATGAATGCTACACCCTCTCTCTTATCTGATTGTGTGCTAGATCTTTGTACAATGCTAAGACGTTAAATTGTATATTTCTCTACCGTCATGAATACTCTAGGATACTAAATTTAATTTGAGATAATTTTTTTACTGTTTTATTAAAAAAAATATATGTTAAAATATGCTTTATAAAAAAATAAAAAATTGTTAATTTGATGAAGTACAGACCAAATATACAGTACTAAAAATCGAAATGTTCATTGCATCTTTTTTTTTGGGAAATTTAGGAGCCTTGGCTCATGTGAAATGTTCATTGCATCAAAGAAAAAAAAAATGAAGAGAGGTTTAAAGTCCTTTGTCGGCAAGGACAGACATGATGATGCAATATAACTGTGGGTGTTGGCTATTTGACGACTCTGCTGACCTTATCAGAATGATTAGATTCATTCACGGCACTTAACATTTATCTGGCGAGGTACAGTAGTTCTTGTCTGCAAATTAAAGTGGGAGCATGAAGAGAGACAGGGAAGGCCTTCACAGATTGATGGAGGAGAAGAAGAAACTCTCCATGCTTTCTGCTTCGTTGTATCTCATTAATTGCCAAGTCTTTCTTGTTTTTAACGTTTATGAGTAGAATTATTGAAGCACCTGTATGGATTTTTTAATCATTGACTAACATACAGCATGAAGGATAGTTATCTTCTTCTGCAAAGTGTTTTTTTTTTTTTTTTGAAATTAGAAATTAGGGTTTGGTGGGTAGGAGTGCATTATTGTTGTTTTGTTTTAGAAATAAAAATATTATTAGCTTTAGGGGAGTGAAGTAGTTGCTTTGCAAGTGTATTGTTTATGATTATGAAGTCGTGAAAGATTTTGTAAATCATCTTTGATTCATTAAGGCAAATTCGTACGTACATCACATATGCATGCTTCGATCTTAAGATCTCTTGGTTAATAACTAAAGCTCCTCCCAATCAACAGACCACAGTGAGTTACGTTAGCAATTCATTTTTAAGAGCCGAATCAGGCATATATATTCGCATATCTCATGCCCTTTAATTTGAAGGTTTTTATATGCACAAAGAGTAAGGAAATTTCTCGGATTTAGAGAGTAAAATGTTTTGATCATCTAGCAATATCGTTGGTGGAGAGCTATGTCATATCAACATTAATACTTGGAAGAAACTATCATGTCATAGTGGTTTCAAAATTTGTGTAACTAAAAATTTGAATTTCTTCATCGAATTGATGGATAGTCACAACATTAGTCTTAAAGATTGCATAAACTGAATGAACACATTTATGTTGTGATGCCATGATGGATGCATACAAAATGCATTTCATTGACCTTGATCAAAATATATGGCTTGCATAAATATTGAAGTAATCTAATGGTGTTGAGATTTAAGGGATCATAGTTAGGGGTGTCAATATTTGACATGACTAGAAAATCTGACTCAAATCCGACCCGAAAATTAGGGGTTATGGTCAAAGCGTTTGTGAAACTGGTTGTGTTCGATTTCAACAAAACGATAGTTTCAAAAACCGGGTTGACTTGGAAATGACCCCGCATCGTTTCTGCCAACTTCTGCTGCCCACAGCGTTTGCCAGTGTCTGCTGCCCGAGTGCTCGTCGACGGTTGCCCGCTGCCACTGGTGGTGTTGCCGGACCGGTGTCATTGCCTTGTCGTTGCCATGTCCTTGGGTCAGATCAGGTCAACCAGTTAACTCGCGTGGATCAAGTCTCGGGTTGAAATATCTGAATTGTTTGCAAAATCGAGTCGGGTCACCTAGTGTCTGATCAGTTTTGAGTTCGACTCAAACCCAACATGTGACTCGATTTTGATAGCCATAATCACAAT